AAATAGACTTTTCTACAAAAATCCATATGGATCTATTATACCCGACTATTTTGGAAAAAGCCCCCAAATCTTTCCAATCTTAATTCCCACGTATCTAACGTAAACGGATTAATTTGGGGCTTTAGGTCTGAAGGTCTCTCGTAAACGGTAAACCCTGTATTATCAACTCCACTCTCAGATTGCTGTACAGGCAAGTACCTTTATGGCTGTTTTGCTAAATTAAAGTTAATTTAAAAGTCAGAGAAATTTATCTTCTCAAGTCTTTGCTTTATAATGATTTAAGAAATTTGTACTTGCTGCTTTCAAATTTTTGTATCTGCAAGATGTTTGTTAAAATTCCGGTTTGGCTTATTAAATCTCATACTTTCGTAAACTATCCATATTTGATAGAACAACGAGACGTGGCTTAAATTGTATTCTTTCTGAAGTGCTTGTTTCATGGTTGATTAGTTTTTATTATGGGTTTTGATTCTTATTTCTATCATGTTTCTATTATGATTACTCGATAATTAATTTAAGTTGCAAGAACTTTTTTTTTTTTCGTTCTGTAGATTCTGGTGAGCTAGAGCGGAAATGGAATTTTGCCCGACTTGTGGGATTATGCTGCTGTATGAGCTGCCTAATACGGGGCACTCTGCCAGATTTTTCTGCCCCACATGTCCATATGTATGTCAGATAGAGAAGAGGGTAATTCGATTAATCTTATACTAAATTATCTGTGGTTCACTCCTTTTGCAATTACTCATACATTATGTGCTATTTTAACAGGTAAAGATAAAGAGACATATGCGCTTGGTTAAGAAAGCAATAGATCCCATTTTTTCTGAAAATGATCAGCAGAATTTACCCACCACTGACAGTAAGTTTATTTTATTTTATTTGATTGATTATTTCGTGTCTTTTTTTCAATCTTGGAAGTGAAGAGTTTTTGGGAATGCTTCTGCTGTTGGTAATGTGTGATCTGCACTTTAGCGACCCTTTTTGTTAAAACTAATATTGCTTTGTGGAGTCTTTTGAAATTTGTTCGTCAATGATAGAAGTTATTTTTTCTTTGAAGAAGGGTCACAGCCTTTATAAGTTCAACAGAGGCTGAAATTACCTTCTATGGTGTTCACTTATTAGGAAAAATCAATAACAAAAAGGTTTGACAAATCAAATCGACACAATATTTAGGGTATAGTTGGTACTCAATACTAGATAAGCTAGACAGGGGTTAAATCAATAAATGTTCACCAGACTTTCATTAGGTTTCTAGTTACTCACCCAACTTTAAAAGTTGTTCAATAGTCACCCATCTTTCATTTGATTACCCATCCACCATCCATTAAGAAAACGATTCCAATTGTTGATGGAAAATCCCATGTGGCAAACAAAAATCCCACGTTGCAAGTTGATGGTGTGAAATGAGTCGAACTTAATAAAGTCGCACTCAAAAAGTCGTGGCTTTCCCTTCATTTTACAAAGACGTATTGTAAAATGAAGGTTAAGTCGCATTTTGCTGGGTACTATTTGGCTGATTTGGATAGATTTCACATTGTCAACTTGTCACGTTGGATTTCCGTTTGCCACGTGGGATTTTCTGACAACAATTGGAACCGTTTTCTTAAAGGATGGTGGATGGGTAATTAATTGAAAGATGGGTGAATATTGAGTAATCTTTTAAAGTTGGGTGGGTAAGTAGAGATTTGGTTAAAAGTTTAGTGGTCATAGATTTATTTAACCCACTAGAGAACATAATAAATAAGATTTTTAGCCTTTTTTGAAAATGTAGGGGCGATTTCTGCCAACCAAATGCATCAAGATGCTGTTTTGACATCTAAGACGACAAAAACGTGTAAACCATCTATAATTTTCATCCCATGTGTTACTCAGTTCACATTTTTGAGCTATTTTGGGAATTTTGCTCTCGTTACCCTCTCCGTACTGAAACAACGTCATCATGACTTCTTATGGCCTTCCAAGTTTATGCTGATTTCTCTATACCCAAATGTGATTCACTAGGGCAGACCAACATTTTTATGGTTTCATGTCTCACATGTTATATTCACAGTTGCAATTCTCTAGTACAAGGTTGACCCTAGTTGTGAATGCACAGCTAAGATAATAATACACATGTACTGGTGAGCATTTCATTAAGTTTCTAATTTAGAAAAATCTACGAGTCTTTTTAGTTTACATAGCAGTAAGCAGTAGACATAATGTGTACTTCTACTTTCCCGGGCTGATGCATTAAATTACTGAAGTTGGAATTTAGCAAATTATATTCTATTATTATTACTGTTATTATTCTTGATCCTGCTTCATTTGGATTTGATCCATTTTGAGGTTACTTAGGAGATCATTTTGTGTGCAGCAACATGTCCTGCATGCAACTATGGGAAAGCTGGTTTCTACCAAGTGCAGATTCGGTCGGCAGATGAACCAATGACAACATTTTACATATGCAAGAGGGAGACTTGCCGAAATCATTGGCGTGAGGATTAGATCTTTTCCCTTGCTTGCATATAGATTCTGAGTTCAATTTGATTTATTTGGTTTGGTTCTATGAAAAATTCGTTCGAATAAACCTTTTGCTATGTAATCTGGTATGGACCACTGCGTTTAAATTCATCAGTTATCAGAATACTATTAGAGAGAACAATTTGTATTTTGAATCGCGATCGAAATATTACAGGGGTACACCAACTATTTACATTCTCTTAATAGTTTTGGCTCGTATAGTGTTCTAGTGAATATATTCGTATAACCAATAAATCTGGACAACAATCGACATGTAATGAATATTATACGTTTCAAAAAAATGGAAAAGTGTTACGAAAAGAGAGAATAAGAGAAATCAATAGATTTGTGTGTATTATAATGAGAACCAAAGCTCTATATTTATAGGGAAGGAATAGAGATACAGATGGTTATTATATTTAGAGTCGCAGGAGTACAAGTGTCATTCACACTAAACCCTAATTTACTCTCCTTTCACAACACTCCCCCTTGAATGACACATTATAAAATATCTGCCTCGTTAAAACTTTGTTTTATAAAAACTCAATGGGAAAAAAAGATCAAAACGAAGGAAAAAGAGTACAGTTATTTTGGAGTATTATAGATAAATGTTGCCTCATTAAAACTTTGTTAGGAAAATCCAATGGGATAAAACCTAAATAAGGAAAAAGAGTACAGCTACTCCCCCCATGTTGATCACTGAAAGTCTTTGACTCGACGCATTCCAATCCCGTGAACCAATTTCTTGAATGTAGATGTTGGCAGTGCTTTTGTAAATAAATTAGTCAAATTGTCACTTGAACGAATTTGTTGAACCTCGATGTCGCCATTCTTCTGAATCTTGTGTGTATGAAAGAATTTTGGAGAAATATGTTTCGTCCTGTCACCTTTGATATAACCCACTTTGAGTTGTGCAATGCAAGGCATTATCTTCATACAAAATTGTTGGACTATCTTTTGTTGAAATTAATCCGAATGATGCTTGTATATGATTGGTCATGTTCCTCAACCATACACATTTTCGGCCTGCTTTATGGATTGCAATAATTTCAGATTGATTTGAGGATGTTGCTGTCAATGATTGCCTCACAGATCTCCATGATATAGCCGATCCTCCACATGTAAACACGTATCTTGTTTGTGATTTAGTTTTATGTGGGTCAGAGAGATAACCTGCATCTGCATATCCCACTAAAGTATATCCCGACTTTTGGGAATAAAATAATCCCAAATCAACAGTACCCTTTAGGCAACGAAAAATATGTTTAACACCATTCCAATGTCTTTGTGTTGGTATAGAGCTATATCTTGCAAGGAGATTTACAGAAAAACCTATGTCTGGTCGAGTGCAATTTGTAAGATAAGTTAATACTCCAATTGCACTAAGATATGGTATTTCAGGACCAAGAATCCTTTCTCCATTTTCAAGTGGACGAAAAAGATCATTTTTTATATCAAGTGATCGAACAACCATAGG